GCAATCATTTACCTACATAGAATCATAAACTCCCTTCCAGGAGTCTCTCAAATTACCGTGGACAAATCCCACAGCTAGATGAAACAAACAATCACTCAGTTTGTTGCTGCCCTTCGCTGCAGAGCTCTTTGTGGCTCTCCTTTCCTAAGCGCAAGTTACCAGCACACCACTTCCGATGGAACTCTGCAAACGGAGAACATTAAACCACTACAGGCTGTGGCTGCTCCAGGTGTACCAGCTTTACACTGCACTCTTACCCACACAGCAACCAGAATGCTGCTTTACACCTTTCTGCCTTGCTGTTCACATCATCTTCATTAACATATGGAATCCCACTTACTTCTACACACTGTTCTATTTGTTAGCATGTCAAATTACCAACTGTCTTTAAAAACACACACACACAAAGATATCCCAACAACAAGAAGTGTAGTAGCATGACACTTTTCCAACCCTGAGGCTAATACAGCCATGGGGAAATTCTCCCTGGACACACTGGGTTTCACCACAAGGCTATCTTCCTTCCCATGCCTGGAACATATTTAAAGATATAGTTCCACCACTGAGGATCTGTATTGAAACAGGGTATAGGCATTGCAAAATTCTTATCTCTCTGTTTTGAGATACCTTACTATAGCAGAAGAAAAAAAAACACAGTAGTACTTTGCAAGTGAAGGTGGTCTTCGCAATTCTCAGAGCTAGTTTTTTTACTTGGAAATAGAACACAGGAAAATATTCAGCAAAGAACAAAGAACCCCGACACATTTTAACCTGGACAAATACAAACCGTGGCTGTTACTATCTATGCTCCTCTAAACCTTTCACGTGACTTACTTTATCTTGCTGCCAGTAATACGTTATCTTCCTTTTGGGAACTGATTTGAGGAAAGACAAATTGAAATTGAATATTGAAAAAAACTAAGAACAACTTGTCACAGTTTTTAGAAATAAAAGCATTTCAATTTAAACCTAAAATCAATGAAAAACAGCTACAGAAATGAGAGTTGGATTTCAGAAGAGATCATCAAGTGATCCAGTATTACGCTGGAGATTGCCTGGGTCATTTTAGATATATGGTCAGAAAATAGCTTTTTAATTAGAAAACTAAAATATCTTAACCTCTCCTTTTCCTGTATTTGTTTCTCTCTCAAACAATTTTGCTCTCTATCCCCTTTCTCCGCTTGTCACATCAACACTTAAGATTTAAGACATAACTCAACTTCAACAGTGCTGTAGTTGACCAGTGGATGACACTGCACAACAACTTTCAAGACACCAGCCAGTCCAACAGCATCCTTGCAGTGACTTGTACAATTGCATCGGGATCCCATAGCACTGTCTACTATCAAGATGGAAGCCTGAGCTCCTAATCATCACTAACTCCCCATTGTAATTAATGATACCTTAAGCTGTGTATAGATAACAGAACTAGTGAATACAAGAAATTCCATCAACGCTCAAAGCAATAGCTCTCAAGCAGAAGTGGAATTTAACAGCAAATTCCTTATCTTGCCAAATTGTTTTCCCAGATCATGGTCTGGCAATCTAAAGTAAAACCCCAAATCTAAATGCTGAAGAGAATGAACTGAAAAAAAGGTTCTTCTAATGCTATTATTTCAAAATGATCTTCCTAAATTTTTCCACAAAATTATAGTTGCAGATTAAACCATCTTCCAAACGTCTGTTTCTAACAGTTCACAAAAAAATGAGCATCACATGTTTTTGTGAATGCTTTGGAGATCTGCGCTAAAATCCTTTGTAACTGATCATTACTGCATTATCTGCATACAGATTAAAGGTATTCCCTAAGCTTCAATGTTATATCCCACACATTTAGCCCGTTACCATATTTGGGACATTTTACCCAAGAAGGATCAAATGATACCTTATGACACTAAATGTTATAACCAAATATTGAACAAGATGTACAGTGCCTATCAGTTTTAAATATATTAACACTGTATATACTGGGCAATGATATGCTCTTCTGATACTTATCATAGAGCAATATCCCCCTACCTTCAAAGGACCTGCTCCCAAGCAGTGCAAAAGTCACAGGTTTCAATGGGTAGCAAAGCAATTTTTCTCATAAGAATTTATGTGACAGAGTGGAGATGCATGCAGAAAGTTCATAAATACAATTTAAATACATAGAGACAGTACATATGATATGAAAGGCAGAGAGGCATAGCAAGGTGATTGGTTGGAGGAGATGATGGCCTTTCAGACACTGAGATTTTTTCAGTAATTGTTTTTCTATCCCATCAAATTCTGCCATTTCACCTGCGATAGCGAACAATCAACAAATACGAGTGCTCTTGCTACTTGTTTCTGAACATGTTCATCATTAACCTCCTCAGATGGAATAGTCAATTCAGTGACAGTTAAGTCAATCGAGTATAATTCTACTGAGTAACTTCTGCAGGGTCAGATTTCCAAACTTCGGGTTTTCTGGTTTATTGTTTGCCTATCTAGTTTCTTTTTGTCGAAAACAGTATCAATATTTTAACTGTAAGTTTTTGCAATTTCACCATTTTTGCAAAAGTACTTGCAAAATGCCAGTCCACTTGATTTGTAAATACACAAAACTTTGAACTAACTGAATATTGGATATTGGATCAGAATATTGGATCCAACACACAGATGTGCATTCTAACGGGCTAATTACCTAGGACACTGCTACATGTAATTATACCACTTCTATATTCAGCTGAGGTCTAGAAGCAGAATAGCTTTCATTACATGGCACAAAAGCTCAGCTACTAAGTCAGATCCAAGTTCCCTCCACTCAGAAACAATTACATGATCTGTATGGAGTCAGCTGCCCTTCGTATTTCCCATGAAATATAAAAGTAAAAATATGAAATTACCACTTCAAAGCTCAAGATGTATGTGTTTTTAACAAGTAATTAGGTACAAAAATGGCTTTATTTGACAGACATACAAACTTTAACTAAATCATTGCCTGCATTCGAATAGGAAACTGGAAGCTAAGCGTAGGTCAGAATTCAGATTTCTTAAATCCAAGACCTGGGGTTTTTATTTACAGTAGTTAAATACTGCGTAATAACGGAATATATATCTGGAAAACAAAAATAAATCTAAACTACCTGTTGACAAAGTTCCAGCATTATCAGCAATCCAAAGTTACCGTTTTACTCCTTTTTTGGTAATAAATTCCTTTAAGCCATGTGAGAACACGCTCCCTTCGGGTGACGTGCTTACCTATAAATTTTTCCACAGTCATTTCTCGAGTCACCAGATCCCCGAAGACTCCCTTCAGGTTACCGATGAGCCCCCCGACTTCCTGACTCTCCGTGAAACTCTCCAGGAGGCTTCTCGTGGTGGTGACACC